AAAAAAAAAAAATTACACCCCACATGTCCAAGACTAGTAGTCTTGTATTGACCATTTTAAAAAATAAAGACAAATAAATAATAATAATAATAATAATAATTATTATTATTATTATACAATTCATGTATATAATGACATTTATATAATATTAATAAATAACACTCAAAATTAATTTATGAATTAACAACTATTACTATTATTAGTAGTAATATTAGTATTAGTATTTACACCCTACATGTAGGACACTCCATATTTGTACCAAATGATAATATTGCATCTCTTTAAATGTTTGGTACTGCTTTTTAAGTATCTGGAACACTGCAGCTCTAAAAGACAGTAAAAGTAAGTATGAACAAAGGCGTTTATTTTGACTGTTAACCCTTCATTTCCCTGGATTTGTGTTGTTACAGTCACCCTGTGTTAACAGATGGCTGTTTTGATTCTTTTGGCACACATGCTCACATATATAAAAAAAACTAAAAAAAAAAACTGAAGTGAATTAACCAAAAATCTGTACCCCCCCCCTTTGGAATTTCATACTTGTCAGGATCAGTTGTTTATTGATATAAAAAAGCGTATGAAAATGTCTCGTGTTTGTGGCATGTAGTTGCTGGAGATCTCTCCCTGTTGTTTGTGTGTGTAAGCGTGTATGTGTGTGTATCTTGCTTCAGATGTGTTGCAGGAGAGTGTATTGACGTTTTCAGGGGCCCGTGGGAGGCTCACACTGGAGCATCCTGCTCTTTCATCTGCTGCTCATGGAGAAATGCAGCGAGAGAGAACTCACAAACAGAATTGAGCAAAGGAGCCTGTCATCCTCATGAAGTGTATGTGTTCGTGTATGTGTGTATGGGACGGCTGTATGTGTTTTACTCTTCCATGATTGCCCTGGGCTCCAGGCTTTTTTTTTCTTCATGTTTTCGTCTCTGTCCTCTTGTACAGAGGAGAACGTGGATCAGGCAAACACAGTGGCCTAATTTTGTCTCAGGGAACCACTCCAACTGCAGGAGAACTTCCTGTGTGGAATTCTAACCATGTCCTGTAGATGAGATACGTGCTGGTGTACGGAGCTCTGTTAGTGTAATTCATCACAAAGGTATACACAAGATAAAGAGTAAATAAACGCTATAAGCGTCCTTTGTACGATCCAATTATAGATGCAATGCAACCGCACATGTAGACGTGAGCTTTCTGTGAATGGGGATTTGAATAACAAAAATATTCACTACCCCAGTAGGTCTTGCCAATTATTTAGGACGAACAGTGTGTGACGGTGATGTGAACGTATATTCAAATTCAGAATTTATCTCTCTGATACAGATTTTGCCAGTGATGAGAAGCTGGTAAATTATTTACTTATAAAACAAAACAGAGTAGAATAGAAGATGATTCTACTTGAAGCTGAAACTGAATGGGTGAGAATCGATCAGAACTTCGTAGAATTGATCAGTCAAGAAGATGAAAAATAAAAAATACAGTACTGAACTTTTTAGAGTAGTTTTATTACAGTAGAAAAGAATAGATAGAATGTATTAGTATAGAATGGAAAATAATCTAACAGTTCAGTGAAACAGAACTGAATGGAATGAAGTATAATAGATAAGTCCAGAGTGAAATAGAAATAAAATAGTTCAGGAGTGAAAAATAGAACAAATAGAATATAAAAGAATAGTCTAGAACAGAATAAGAATTTATTAGTAGAGCAGAGCAGAGCAGAATTGAATTGAATAGAATGAAACAGGTTAAAACTGAACTCAAAAGAACAATAGAATATATAATTTAGCTGTATGACAGAATAAATTAAAAAATGTGAAATGAATAGAATAGATTAGTATAGAGTAGAACTGAATGGAACAGAAATATAATATATTAGTCTAGAACAGAACATGTGTGAACTGAACAGAACAAAATGTAATGGATAATTTTGCAGCTGAATAGAATAGAATAGAATAGAATAGAAATTTATTGTAGCAGAACTTAATAGAACAGAACAGGTCATTCCAGAATGGAATATAATGGAATAGATAAGGCTAGAAGAAAATAGAACAAATAGAATAGAAATAGAAAGCAGAATATTATAGTTCATTTTACAGTCAAGCAGGTCACAATCTGACAGAATAGAAAAATTATATTACAGTAGGATGAACTAGATAATTCAGTCTGGAAATGAATAGTAGATAATAGTTGGGTCTAAAACAGAACTGAATGGAATAGAATACAGTAGATTAGTCCAGAATAAAACAGAAATAAAATAGGTCATGGTTGGAAAATAGAACAAACAGAATAGTTTAACAGAAGAGAATAGTCTGAAACAAAATAGAATTTATGAGTAGAACAGAACTGAATTTAATAGACTGAAACATTAATAGTGAAATGAAAAGAACAGAATGCAATGGAATAGCTAAGGCAAGAAGAAAATATAACAAATATAATATAAAAGATCAGTTTTGAATTGAACCAAACTGAATGTTACAGATCATGTTACAGTCAAGCAGAGCAGAATCTAATGGAATAGAACAGAGAAGGCTTTATTGTGACTAATATATCAACAGACTGGATGGATGGAGAACAGGGCAACATATTGCTGTCTGAGTGCCAGTGTCCCACATCCCATGTGTGTCCTGTTGGAATGAGTTCCAACAAAGGACGGATGATGTGTGTGCAGATACAGGTGGCACAGGGACACAGCACAGATTACAGGACGGTCGCCATTCTGTTGTGTGAAAGACGCCTGCAGACTCTCAGCCTGATAATCAAATGCTGTTTGCGCTCACAGAACCAGACGCACCCAGGCCTGGCATAGGTGGGCTTCAAGAATAATTTCAATCAAGTAAAGGCACAGTTCACCCAAAAAAGACAATTCGGTAACGCTTTATTTTAAGGTGTACTTGTTACACGTTACATGTACTATTGGAATAACAATAGATGATTCATAATTACATGCAAGTAACCCTAATCCTAACCCTAACCATATAGTAAGTACATGCAGTTAATTCATATTACTTAGTACTTAAATGTATAACTACACTGTAACAAAGACACCTTAAAATAAAGTGTAACCGAAACTTTCAGTTGGGCCCAAAACAACATTGGACAATATGGAAAATATGAACTATATGCAATTTCAGGTAATTACTGAATAAGATGCAGGCTTTTGCATTGAAATACTGTTTATTGAATTTGCCCCTCAAGTAGGGCTGGGCTATATTGCCAATAATATTTTCTTTCTTTCTCCCCCCCCCATACTATACAATATTGATTATTATTTATCGATTATGTATAATTATCATCCATTAATGGGGAAGAAAATGCTTTCCACAAGTATGCTAGACCTTAGAACTCCACAGAGTAGCTATCTTTTAATTTAGGACCTTGTGAAATCCATTATATTTTTTATTTATTCTGTGTTTTATGATTTAATACAAGTTTAATTAATACAAAATTAACAATTTAATTGAGCTTTTAAAATGTAATCAATTGAAAATATAACAGTTATTTTAAAACAAAACATTGCATTTTTATTTTTTGTCAAATAAGATGCTGCACAACAAACGACTTGAGTTTTATGGCGGATTTTCTCAAATAAAACAAAAAGCTGGTGAAGTGACTGTCAGAGCAGCTCTGGAGATGAAGTTCATATGTTCATGTCTCATATATTGAGACGCAGACGCTGAAGACTCCGCGAGCGTCGGGTGTAATTACGCCACTTATTCACACAGAGACGCAGAACATGCAGACTTATTAACCAGATTCACTGACTGTTGTCGTGTTTATTTCTGCTGTGATTAATCCATATCGAGTAAAAATGACCAGAGATTATCGTCATTATCGGCATGCATTTTATGTATGAAAACGTGTACGTTTTGTGTTAAATTAAAATTCTCTGTCCAAAAGCACAGTTTATATTATGTAATCCATGACACAAACAGGCATGAAATAATTAAGAATCTGTTTGATAAGCCAATTTTCTTTTGTATTAGAAGTAAAGGACAGCAGATTTTTGGCCAGCGCATCTTTTCATTACATCATGGCCAGCGGTGATTAACATCGTACTCGGCGCTATTTCCTAATGTTTACTCCATGTAAACATATTACAATAATGGGAAAATGTACTATTTATTTTCCACCGCAGTGAATCTGCACAAGTCATCAGAGAGCAGCGGTTTGAGGCTGGGTGGCCAAATTGTTGCTCAGGTAATTTTAGCTGTTTACGTTTGGTTCATTATTCTGGGCCTCTTGCATTCTGTCTCCAACCGAAATTACCCTCCATTACGGCCATTTGATATTGACTTTAATTTGAGTGCATGTTATTTTTGTATATATCTCATGAACCATGCAGATTGATTTGATTTGGTTTTTGTAGTTTGATTTAAATACACCCACGCCCCTCGACGCACAACAACAACCTACAGCAAACGCACACTCGCGTCGCCTCCAGAGACACTAGAGATGAGACGTCTCTAATTATTGTAATGTATCCATTTGTGTTATTGTCACTGTGACTTTCAGAGAGATGGCAGAACGTTGTTTCCAACTGGGATCTTTTCTTTCTCAAACATCTCTCTTTATGAGACCCCTGGGTAACATTTCTAGCGTACAGGGTGATGGTCCTGCGGTGCATTGTGGGAGTGAGCGGAGATGTTTGAACAGCCGGCCTGTGCCATGTTGAGACCTCACGTGCGACTCCAGAGGAAACCGAACCCGGATGGGGACGGGGCCTCCGCGGACACCTGATGTTCCACTAATTGGCCACGGGTGAGCTGTGTGAGTCTGTCGGCAGGGCTCCGAGGCATCAGAGACGAGCTGATATTAAAGTAGAACACATCCTGTCTTATTACCCAAAACAGGCTTTGCGTGAAAGCCGTCGGTAGGATTTTATTAAATTATTTTCGATGCTTAATGGAAACTCTTTACCTGTGGAACAGCATCCATTATTGCGCACGAGGGCTTCGGAGCTCTTTAGAAACTTGACAAAAAGCTTCCCTCCCCTCCCCATCTTCTGTGAACCTCAGAGCTTTTTGTGTGTTCTTGGAAGATTAGAGCATATTTTCATAAGCCTTTTTAATGAAATGGAAATTGATGAAGAAGAAATGCAGGAGAGACCCCCCTCCTCGTCCCTGATCTTGTCCAAAACGTGTCAGGGTGATGACATCCCTTGCAGGGTTTTGGATTTTGTTGTTTTATCGCTCGTCCGCCATGTCTTTCAGCCCTTTCCAGGAAAGCAGTCGAGGCCCTGTGTGTTTCATGTACTGGTTTGTTTGGTTTTTTAATATTCATACTGGTTATCACAACGCTCCCCGTTGAATCAATGGATTCACATGATTGGCTTTTGAAGGCAGAGTCTCTTTAGATGTGCTTAAGACTGACGGCGTCTCAAGGATTGTTAAAGATGTGCCTCTTTTGATGCCCTGTCTTGGCTTCATTGTGTTTCTGTCCTCACACAGAGAAAAAGGAGTATTGTATGGTTGTGATTCACACACAGTGTTGCGATGTAAGCCAGAGACCAGAGACAGCATCATGCTATCAAGTTTAAATCAACCATTCATTATTTTAGTTGTATAAATTGGGGTTAGCATGCATTGTAGCATGCTAAAACATGCTAGGTTATTATTTGTTTATTTATTTATTGGACTATCTATCTATCTATCTATCTATTTATCATTTATTTACATGATTATTTATTTGCTTTTAAATTATTCATCCATCCAGCCATTCATCCACCCATATGATTATTTATTTGCTTTTAATTTATTTTTTCATTCATTCATTCATTCATTCATTCACATGATTTTTTATTTGCTTGTAAATGTTTTATTTATTTAACATTTTTTCCAATGCACTAAAAGACTACATTTAGGCTAAGACTAAAACCTAAGTGTAAAAATGTAATTAATAATAATAATAATAATGATTATAATAATAATATGAATAATAATAATGACCTGATAATGTTAAATTACATGTGGCTGCAGTACCAGAGTAAAACTTACCAAGCTAATTATAATAAAAAATAAATAACTAAATAAATAATATTTTGGTACTTGACATAAAATAAGCATTATTTTAAATAAAATAAATACAATGTAAAAGATTAAACTTATTTAATTTCAGCTAGTTGCCAACATTTCTCATTTTCTCATTAAAGGCACAATATGTACGTTTTCGCCGCTAGAGGGAGTGTATTCAAAACAAACAAAGAAACAAAGGTGTAGTTTGATGACGCCGTGACTGAGTGTGGAATCATGGGAGATATGGTCTTCATCCCCACAGCCGATGCAATCCGACGGGACTCGGGCAGAAATCATGTTCATGGATGAGCTAATGATTCATTAATGTCGTAGTAAGAAGCAGGGTGAGGCTGAAAGCCGTCGAAGCGAAACGAGGCCGCTGAACAAGCGTGACACACGGCTCAAAAGCAGCGGAGCTTTTATTACGCCACAGTCGACCGCTTTTGAAAGTTCTGTTATAATGCTACTCTGTGCAGTCGTCACCTGTCTAATAAAACGCATAACAAATTAAAGTGTCTTTGGTGTTTCCATGTTTTCTACAAAACAAAACTCGAGGGGTTATGACGTCATTGTAACGATTACAATCAATTGTAAGCATGATAGTCTGACCGTCGCTGAATAGGTGAGCAATTCAAATTGATGACGCACAAACCATGCGACCCAGCTTGCACATCTTCTAACTCCTACCTCAGTGTAAGCTGCCTGAAGTTGTTTTCTCCAGAACTCCTTGTGGTGACACATATGTGAAATATTCCTCACATTTAGCCGCTAAAACAAATAAACAAAGAGCTAAATCACGACAGGTCTTCTTTACGTTTTTGTGACAGGTGCAGTTTCACAGAGAGACTGAGACTAGCTGAAAATGATGCTGAAAGTTGCACAATCGCCTCACAGTTTGGCATTAATATGCAGGGGGAATAATACCTCTCTCATAAGGACAAGAATATATTTTAATAAAAATACTAGTCATTGCCAGTAAAAAAAAATGAAATTCTTCCACCCGCCATTAGTAGGTGTGACAAAATGTTAATTTTGGACTCAGCATGTGGCATTATCTCCGTGTCCCATATTTGCATCCGTCTAAGTCAAGAGAGGTTGCTAATGCGAGCTGACTGGCATTAATGGCTGCTGACTCGACCATGTGTTGCCCACGAGCTGACGAGCAGCAGGCATCGGCCTCGTCCAGGGCCGGCGGTCCGACAGACAGACCCTCAGATTGGGGAGCAAAGCACCCCACTTTCTCCCCTTGAGTCCCACCCCTCCCTCTCTCCTCAGCAACTCTGATTGATCCAGACGTAGGGTGACCTGTACTGTCAGTCAAATCTGCCCACAAGGTGCTTCCTGTCATGGGCTCGCACGTTTTGTCCACAAACACTCCAGAGTGATCAACGCTCTCTCTCCCTGAATGTCTCGACACACTCACCTGCAGGCTTTAGTAGCATATTAGATTAAATACTAAATCAGAAGTGTAAAGCTTGATGTTGTACGCCACATCTGCTCATAAATATTTAAATCTAATGATAATGACGTTGCCGTTGCCGTTATGCACATTAGTTCCATTACAGTGCCTTACTGTCTATTTAGACAGCATCGTAGATGTGCGCTCGACGCAAATGCTACCTTCCGAGATAACTTGTTTTGGCAGCATCACATGCATGCTTTGTGGAGAGGGAAATCCCAGAATGCATTGTGATGAGCACTGTCCAAAAAAAAAAACTCATTCAAGATGGCGGATGAGCTGAGAGAATAAATATATTTTCATTAGTTCAAAGAAATGTATTCTCAAAAGTAGTTCACACTAATTAAAAATGAGCTGTTTTACCCGCTTTTGTGCGCTTTTGTATTTTGTCTTGCTGCACTGGCAGATTTTTTTCCCACTAGTTTTTAACTTGTTTATACTTAAAACAAGTGAAGGAATTCTTCATATTTGTGCAGAAGTTTTTTAATCTTACACAGACAATAATGCAAAAATATGTATTAAGAATATTTATTTATTGCAGTGAGAATGTTGTGTTGTTAACTTAGCAACATGGAGATTTTGGATTATCTTCTCCGATATCTACATACAGTTAGTCAATGTGTATCAATACACTGGATCTGTGCATTTAGTCTTAAAGGGATAGTTCACCCAAAAATGAAAATTCTGTCTTCATTTACTAACCTTCTTATCATTCCAAACCTGTATGACTTTCCTACAGTACTTCTGTGGAACATAAAATAAGATATTTTGAAGAATGTTGGTAACAAAACAGTTCTGGTTACCATTGCCTTCCATTGTATGAAATAAGACTTACAAAAAATAAAGTCATACAGGTTTGGAACAACATGAGGGTGAGTAAATAAAGACAGAATTTTCATTTTTGGATGAACTGTTATTTTAAAGTGACAGCAGTCTATTAAAATTGGTTTATGGATCATTTAAGGTTCTTTAGAGTGAAAAAAGCTTCATTAGATTATTAAAATGTTCTTCACACTAAGAAAATATGGTTAATTTAAGAATTGATTACTGAAAGGTTCTTTGGGAAACAGAAGGCATCACTGCAAAAACCCACTTTTAGAATCTTAATTTTTAAGACTGTATAGTGGAAATACTATTGTTTGGTTCTCTCATTGTTTGGTTCTCTGTGGGACAAAAAAAAAAAAAACGTTTTGGAACCTTTATTTTTATTAATGTGCAAACAAAAAGCAGGAAGCATCTTGTGCCTCTTTTTGACACCGCAGCCAGACGTTCAAGCGGATGTAGCAGAGTATCAGTGTGAATGTTTAGTCGATAAATCAGAGATGAATGAGGACGAACGATTTTAAACCAACGGAGCTGGACCCTTGGGCTTCGATTGCTGCCCAGTAATAAGGTGTCAAGTGTGTAAACAGGTATGACAGATCCAGATTTGAGGTGACAGCTGGAGAGAGGATAAGTGAGCCACGCTGCGTTCTGACAGACTTCCTTCCCTTCCCACATACACACGCTGGGATCGTTGGCCAATCTCAGTCAGCCATTGTGACATGTACACCTGCTTCGCCTTGATAGGCAGTTGAACCTCAGGACTGTCGGATGTGGCCACCCTCCTACCTGCCTTGATAGGTGTGCCACTCTTGAATACCCACCAAAGCTGGCAGCCACCAACGCTTCGTCACCCCCCGCCACATCAGTCAGTCTCAACTGGCGGGGTCCGTCCTGCCACCGACCAACCCACCTTCCCTCTGACAGTCCGTCACACGCAGAGGGCGCGTCCGTTACGGATGCACCTCCCCATTCTGCCATCAGCGCCTCTCTGCACATGGCTAAGCACAGTCCCTGCTGCCACATGGCGGGAGGGCCCGCGTTTTAACGCTTTGTGGGACACACTTCCACATACACACTCTCAACCTCGGCAAGTACGCAGCAACTGTTTACACGAGCCTTGCTACTGTTTTTCGTGCGGTCCGGATAAATGTTTTGTCTGCTGCGTGACAGATGTGTGTTTGTGTATGTTAGCTACATGCTAACCTTTAGCCTTTTGCTGTTGGGTGCTATG